ACGCCCCGACCCCGACGTACGCCCACATCACGCCACGACGAAGCCCATCACAATACTGGGATGGAACCCAGTCAAGCTTAAGGGAGTTCCAGGGCGTCTCGACCACATCTCCGACAATACGCCAGCGCACCACCGACGCCCCGCACCACTTCGAGGACAGCCTCCACCACACATGGGTCCACTTCGGCTGGGGCCGCGGAGCCCACACGAACAGCTCAGCAGGCTGCAGCATCGCAGTATCCAAGCGCCACTTCCGCAAGATAGACATCGTCAAAGTATTGCACCCCCTACAGCCCGACCTACGCGGCCGCGCAGGCGCCGTCGAGCTCCACCGCGGCCAGCTCCGTCTTCGACTCATTGCTGCGTACTTCCCACCACGGCCGAACGGAGCAGGTCAACACCAACACTGGAAAGCAGGATGCCGACGACTATGGAGCTGGGTATTGCACACACTTACCGACACTCCCACTCGCGTCACGCCCATCCTGTTCACGGACCTCAACCAAGGACTAGGACGACGATCACGACAGCTCCACACCGACAACGCGATCGGCAGCTACCACGCAAGCGACGAGACCGAGTTCGGACGCTTTATACACGACCAGCTTCTGACTCACCAGCTGACGGCCATCAACACGCACTCCGACGTCGGCAACACCTACTATGGGCACAACAGATCCAGATCACGCATCGACTACTTCATCGGCTACGACAATCTTATGGAGACCGTGAAATACGTGAAGCTGAACTGGAAGATCCACACCAAGCTACGTAGCCTACTACATGTTGCCGACCACGTCCCCATGATCATGCAGATCAAGATGCCTGTCAGCGGCGCCAACATCACGAACAACAACATTCGCTGGGACTTCGGCCTCCTCGCTGCCGGGCTCCAGACAGGCGCCCACCGCGCTTCTTTTCTCACCGACGTCTCTGCCGAGATCGACAAATACAAGGAGGCCCTCCGAGTCGTCAAGATGGATCAGTTTCCGACCCGCCACAACGCTCTCATCGCTCGTATCATTTGCGCATGCGGCCGCAAGTATTACACAAAGGAAGGAGGACAACCACAATGGTACCAACAAGCTCGACTTGAACGACTCCGCTTGCTTAAAGAACGCACCGATTGCCGAGCCCGACGACTACCCTTCAACCATGCGACCCTACGCGAGATCCAACGACGCCTACGAGCACACCAACGATGGATGGATCACTGGTGGAAAGTCAGCCTCGACCAGGACATCCGCGACGCGTGGGCCACTCGCGACCTCTCCCGAGTTGCATATCTCATGTACATCCGAGCGGGACGACGGACGGGGCCACGACGACGATCCTACCTTGCACTACCATCCACGCGCCCCACTGCAGCCGAATACGCCGACGCCCTCACTCAACCAGCCGTCCAAGGGGGACTCACTGCCACGCCAGCTTACGTCAGTATGTATATCGACGACCCGACAGCTATTCCACGCCTACTGGCCCAACCGAACGACATTCAACCAGTGGGGGAGCACATCGGCGCCCCTGAGCTCCACGACATTGAGACGGCAGCCGAGGAGCTCGACCATCTGCAGAAACGACTGTGGGGGGAGAAACGGAGGCGCTACAGACCACCTTGGGCATGGCCCATCGAACTCACCATCATGCTCCTCGCCCCACAGTATTTGACGCGCCCTGGTGTTCAACGGGCGGGGTTGGGACATGCCACTGCCGACAATCACTACGCGGACCCGGTCGCCGAGCGCGTCTACCAACCCAATCGACGGAAGCTCGTGATCGACTACGACGTCAGCTCCACCATCATCCAGACTTTCGTCACACTACTCGCCCATGTCCACCGATGTGGATCTCTGCCTGCCCAGGCGTTCACCAGCCAGGCGGTCGCCGTCGGCAAAAAAGGAAAAAAGCCCCACTGGCAATGTGATTCAGGACATTCATTCATGCGTACGTCTACTTCATTGTTTCGACCATAGTTACGATTGTATCTCCGGATAGGGCTCATTCAGTATGGAACCCAATTCGATCCACCGCCGTGGGCGTATGGAGGCATTCATTCCCGCCGTCGCGAACCACTCATGCTCCTTGCTAAGCTTTTGATATGGAAAATGAGATCAGCCAGAATGTCTGTTCTTGCTAAGTCGCGCGACATGCGGAACGCATTCGCGACAGGCTCCCACGAGCGACTGGTCGCCGCCCACACACTTCGATGCGAAGATGAGCATTTCCATCCCCTCCTCGAGCAGCACCGACACGAGGCTGTAGTTGTTCTGCAGGCGTCTGATGCTAGCATAGCTCTTCGACCAGGGACAGGAGGGGGTATGGGCGACTCAAACGAGCCTGAACTTTTCATGGAATATGTTTATCCATTGGTTATGCAGTGGTCTCAGGAGATGGCCCAGGTCCAGGGAAACCCGTTTCAGGTACACTGCCCTTTTACTGGTGAAGAGTTTGATGCGCATCTTGGAGCTTGCATTGACGATCTAGTTAAGATCCTCTCGGTGCCAGACGGCGCGGCCCTCCAGGCGCTGCAGATTGATAAGATCGACAACAACACGCTCTCCCAGGCCCTCGAGGTTGGCAGCTACGCACAGAACATCAGTAAGCAGGACACCCTGGTCTCACTGGGCACTCACGGGGCTACGAAGGAGGCCGAACGGAATAGTTCTGGAAACGCGGTCCAGGACTTGATTCATCTCGGAGGAGTTGTACATGTCGCTAACAGTAATCGTCGTGAAGTCGAGGCCCGCATACAATCAGGTAAGATCGGGTGGTGCCGTTTGGGCGATTACTGGTTTTCTGGAGGTCCTTGGAAGGCTAAACGGCTCGCGTTCGTGTCCAACGTCGCTGGGAGGGTTTGGTCTGGCCTCGAAAGCTACGTGCTGACCCCCAGAGAGCCCCACCGTCTCGACAGTTCGCTGGCCCGTAAACTACGATCAATGATGAGAGGAGCTGCACATCAGGAGGATGAACACAGCAATCATCGGTCCCTTTCTACCCGTCAAGTGTTTCTCGAATGGCAAGTTGTACCGACTGTCATCGAGCTACTCGTGCGCAGGCTCAGTTGGTGGCAGAGCATCATCCGATTGCACACACATCATGGCCACGTCCTCGCTTCTCTTTTTGGCAGATGCAGGTTCGAGCAGCAGGCGGCCATAAGCAACCGCCCCGTCAGCGCTGGCACTCTCAATTCGCAGGGTGAGATCTCCGCAGACCCGAACGTGCACCCGTGGGCCACACAGCTCGCGGACGATTTGCTGTGCCTGTCGTCTCACACGATTGGCGAGAGCTTTCAGGAGGCGTGGCAACCTCGAGTTGTAAAAAACTTGTGGGGTGACGAGTGGGTTCGAGAGGCCTTCCTAAACTGCGATGTTCGGGCTCTCAGGGCTTCCTATTGGACGACTCAGTGGGCTCCTCCCGAGGCCAGCGTGATCACCTCCTCTCTCCCCTCGGCGGCAACGTACGACGAGACGAACCGCCCCTTCGTGTGCAACATCGAGTCGTGCCAGAAACGGTTCGGGACGCTCAAA